TCCTTGGAGTCTTCTCTTTACAGGAATTCCTAAATCCCATTAGCAGACCAACGTGCCTAGAATCTACCTTTGCACTTTTCACATATTGCTCATGAATTTCCAGTGCCTCTCACAAATTCCAGCGTAGGATCTCCACCTCTAATGTGGATATGTGTTCAATTTGCAATTTGCTTCTGGTGCTGTTTACTTCTCTGAAAGCTTAAATTCTTACACAGAACAGGAACAACACATCGGTACAGTCGATCTCACTATCTTTTTTCCTTTATGTCTTTTTCTTCCTTCTCTTGCTATTTTAATGCTACATTTCCGGTCAAGTCTGACCCATTCATAAAAACTTCCTAGACCTTTCTAACCTTTTATGACCAATCTTCACCGTCCCTCCCCCCACCAACTTACTGCAACATTTAATGTTATAGGCACAGTCATCAATATTGTTACCCTTTTATCAGGAAATTGTTAATATCTTCAAAGAGTCTTTGTAAACCATAAATCACTGTACAAATATTAGTTCTTCTTCATAGCACCAACATCCATCCAAATTGAAAACTATGGCCCAGAGCTATGTCTCCAGAGCTATTTTTTTTTTTTTACCATTGTTGCCTAGGACATTATGCATTCCATAAATATTTATTAGCAGTGATGATAATCCATTTTAGACCCAATGGCCCCCAGAGCACTCCTCAGGAATGAGTATCACTCATTTGAATGTGTTGTTTTGGTAAACTTGTACCCATGTATTGTCATTATCTTTAGCTACACCTCATATGACCAAGGTAGCAATATTGCAATATTTAGTGTGAAAAGGACATGAACTTTAGAATCAACTAATCCTGGTTCATGTGATGCTGGGAAATAGGTCTAATCTCCCTGAGCTTCCTTTTCCTCAATGATGACTAAAGAATTACTTACAGGCATGCCTCTTAATACTTAGCACTTGGCACGTATCATATTAGTGGTTTCTTCCTTTCCTAATTCCAGAACATTTTCATAATATAATTTGCTTCCTCAAACTCATACAAACTTTCTCAATCATTTCTTCAATTTCGTGGAAAAAAATGAAAGTCTTTGCTGATCATGTGGGTCTAGTCTTTGAATTACTCCTTGAAGTCTACAACTCTTCTAACTCCTAATTTCTGAAACTTCCATACATATTCCCATCTCAGGACCCATGTTCTTTCTATTCCTCTTTTACCTTCAGTGACTTCACCCAAAATATTCATGATATTTTCCTCCTTTAACTCTTTCAAGGTTTTCCTCAGATGTCTCTGGCCCTTTGATTCAAGATTACAAAGTTTCAAACTTCTCACAAAAACACAACACTCTCTCTGCTCTTTCTCTATCAGATGTATCATCTTCTGATATATTATATAATTTACTTTTTTAAAAAAATTTGCTTATTGTCTTCTTCCCATGAGACTAGAAATTATTTGGCCAGTTCAGCATTAACTTTCAGTGTCTAGAATAGAGGATAGCACATCTTAGGTGCTGGGTAAATAGTTCTACTATATAGACTATAATATGGAAAGAAGAATAGGGTCTGGTAACTTCCTCTTCAACTTGCTTGATGAAATGATTTGGGCTATCATAAGAGTGATTCCAAGTAGTCCTGAGAACAGTGGTCAGCAAACTATAGCCCATAAATTAAATTGTGCTTACTGCCTGTTTTTGCAAATAAAGTTTTATTGGAGCCGTATGCATTCATTTATAAGATATCTATGGCTGTTTATGTGATGAAAGGGCAGAACTGAGTAGTCGTGACATGCAAAGCCCCAAATATTTACCATCTAGTAATTCTTTTAATTAATTAATTAGGTACAAGGGGTTGATTTCAGAAGCACTTTACCAGTAAGTTGTATCCCCAGTCTTTTCTAATATTTTATTTTGAGACAGATTTTGCTAAATTGTGGAGACCCACCTCCAACTTGTTATCCTCCTGCCTCAAGTCTCCCAAGTCGCTGGCCAGGGGTGCCTCACTCCACCTGGCTGGTTATATAACAAGTGTGCCATCCCTGTCTTAGAGGGTAAGTGAACCTGGTCTACTGTGGGGGCTTGTGGATTGCTTCTTTGGTAGTTGGAAATTTGCCTTCCAACTTCCTGAAAGAGGGTCACACTGGGTGTGTAGCGAGGTGTTCTTACCTGTGTGGTGCACACCTGGCTGATGGGTGAGGAGACCCTGTGCCCTTCTCCTTGGGCCCCGGAAGATGAGGGTAGGAAGTAATGGTTGTTGGGCGATGGGGGCAGACTGATGTGCTGCGGGCTTTTCAGGGCTCCCAGGGGCGAATGCTGCGGAGAGCACTGGGGACTGAGAAACGTGGAAGAAAGTACATTGGTTTGACCTGAGGAGTCCACACAGTGAGCGCTTCCAAGGGGCAGGAGTGGAGCCGCTTCGCAAGCCGGGGGTTGACTCTCGGAGCTGTTTTGTCCTTTCACGGACACTTGTTGGGATGCAAAAGGACAGCTGGAGACCGCATCTTCCTGCTTGATGGGGGCAGCTAAGAAGGGCAGGGGCTTCTTCTCCGCACAGTTAGTGCTTTTCTGCTTCTGAAGCTGCATCCTCAGCTCTTCCACCTGCCTTTGCTCTTGCTGCAGTTTCCAGGTCAGTTCATTGATCACCTTCTGCTTCTCCACCAGCATCTTGTCCTTCTCAGAGTCCAGCCCGTCCAGCTCCGAAGGACCCGAGCCCCCGTTCAGGCTGCTCATGAGACTTTCCTCCGTGCAGACGTGCACTGGGGACGGGTGCAGACCAAAGGACGGAGAGGCGTCGGTGAAGGTGTCCGGCAGGGACCCGGCCACCGACAGGTCAGACGAGGCCGGGGAGATTGGGGGGCTGGAGCTGGTGCTGCCGAAGCGGTAGAAGCCATTGGATAAGGCACTGGTGGAAGGGGACGACTGGTAATTGGGCAGCGCGTTGGGTGTCACGGGAAAAGTGACAGTCGTTATGTCGCCGAAGTTGGGTACGGAGTTGCCGGAACAGTCCTGGAAGGGTCGAAGCCGGTCCATAAGAGCCGTTTTGGTGCCTGACACGGGCAAGCCCCGTATCCGAAGCTGTTGTCGCAATTCAGAGACCTAAAGAAACCAGGACGCTGTTAGTGTGCTGCCTAATGACAATATTTTTAAAATGTCTCTTTATAATTAAATTAGTTTTAAAATGTCATACATGGAATTTTATAATGTCCACTCCTCTTTTTTTTCTCTGCTTCTTCTCAATATCCCCTCCCACCCTTGATATAAATTGGTTTTGCACAATTTGAATGATTCCTTTTGACTCTTATCATATATACAGGTGCTCCTCAGTTTATAATGGGGGTGATGTCCTAATAATTCCATGGTAAACTGAAAACATCGGAAGTCAAAATGCATTCAATGCACCTAACCTACAGAACATCTCAGTTTAGGGTCAGAGGGTCAGTTCTTTCCGTTATTTCAGGGGAGACTCAGAGGTATGATCGCTATTATCACCCAGCATCTTCAGAAAGGATCAGACAGCATATTGCTAGCTAGGGAGAAAAGTTTAAAATTTGAAGTGCAATGCATACTGAACATGTGCTCTTTTCTCAGAATTATAAAGTTTATCATAAGTTGAGCTATTTTAAGTTGGGGACCATCTGAGCCAAGTGTTCATGGCCTGAGAGTCATGGAGATGTGGATCGTAAATGAATGGTAAAAGTCACCTAATTTGCTGACCTTCCACCCCCATTTTGGTCCTTGTTCCCATTTTATAGATGAGCAAAGCTATAGCTGCCTGGTGTAGACAGATCCCTCACATGATGATCCCTAAGCATAGTTGAATTTACAGGACTTCTGGCTTTCTGAGTCAGGCCTCTTCTCACCATATCTTCTTCCTCAAACTTAAGCATGCACTTGAAGCAACTGAGGATGTGTGATAACACATACTCCACCTTGGAGTTCTGGTTCAATAAATCTGGGTGATGACTAAGATTTTGCATTTTTAACAAATTACCAGGGGATATTGATGCTTCAAGTCCCTGGACCAGACTTTGAGAATCTCAGTTCTGCATTAACATTTTTGTCTTAATTTTAATGATGAATGTTTGACAATCATATGTTGATGGAGGGTGGGAGGGATGGAGAGAGAGAGAGAGAGAGAGAGAGAGAGAGAGAGAGAGAGAGAGAGAGAGAGAGAGAATCAGTCCAAACCCTTACTCTTACCCTAGCTCTGCAATCCTCTGTGCCTCATTCATGACATGGAAATGGTAATACTTGCCTTATATATTTCTGTGAGGGGCAAATGGCTTGAATTTTGTTAAGCTCTTGGAATAGTTCCTAGTAAAGACTTATGCAATGTTAGGTTAATATTTTTTTCCATATGTGTGTGTGTGTGTGTGTGTGTGTGTGTGTGTACTGGGGATTTAACCAGGGGCACTCAACCACAGAGCCACATTGCAAGCCCCCCCCCACCTTTTTGTATTTTACTTAGAGATAGGGTCTCACTGAGTTGCTTAGGGCCTCAATAAGTTGCTGAGGCTGGCTTTGAAGTTGAGATCCTCCTGTCTCAGCCTCCCAAGCCCCTAGGAATACAGGCATGCATCACCATGCCCAGCCTTTTCCATATATTTTTTTAATTAGTGCATAATGGTACAAAATGGTGGTGGCTTACTATCATTGTAATATTCATTCATAAGTAACTAGTTGATCCCTGCATTTTTTATAATGTTCATAAATTGGAAACTATAAAATATACACAAATATGGGAACTTTGAATAAGTGATGGTGCATGCAAATGATGGAGTACTTCAAAGCCATTAAGATTTGATGCTATACCTGGGCACATCTGTAATCCCAAGAGCTCAGAAAGCTGAGGCAGGAGGATCACAAGCCCAGCTTCAGCAACTTAGAGGTCCCTTAAGCAACATAGTGAGAACTTGTCTCAAAATAAAAAATAAAAAGTAATAAAAAAAATAAAAAAGGATATAGCTCAGTGGTAAAGCACCTCTGGGTTCAATCTCTGGTGCCTCCTGCAATAAAAAGGTTGATGCTATAAAGTGTTGCCCTTGGATGCTGAATATTTACTTATGGTATATTATTAAGTGAAAGAAAGTTTGAATTGATTATATTTTTAAATATATATAAATATAAATATATATAAAATATATAAATAATGTGCATATATATTTAAACCTGTTTGCATGTGAAAATATCTAGATAAATATATACTAAAATGTCAACAATGGGATTCCTTATCTGTAATTTCTAAATACTCCACATAAGCATATTGCTTTTGTGATTAAAAAAGGAAATGCATTAAGTAGGTAAGTTTCAATAATTTTGCAAAAAAAGAATATATAGAGAAATATTCTTTTGAGATTTTTGTAGAGAAAGATATTTTGGGCATAAATTTAGAGGAATAAATCATAAGAATATTGACAACCAAAATTTAAAACTTCTGTAAGTCACAAGAACCATAAACAAAATGAATGTGGATCCAAGTAGCAATCTTAGAAAAAAAAAATGATTGCAGCAAAATAATAAAGTGCTTTTAGAAACTCCAATGTATTAACTGTGCTTACCAATAAAAAAGAAAAAAAGGCTGATACCCAATATAAAAATAGATAGGAGAAGTGATCCAGTTCTTCATAAACACAAATAAAATTTAGATAATGACCAATAATGTATGTGTATCATCATTAGTAACGCAAAAAATGAAAGTAAAATAAATATGTACCTACGTTGGAATTCATCAAATTGACAAAGAAATGAGTAATAACCCTTTGTGTTAGTGAGGTAGTAGCGAAAATAAAAATGTTAAAAAGAAAAAAAGATCTTTATTATCTTTCTATTTAAAACATGGTCCTTGGGTTGGGGTTGTGGCTCAGCTGTAGAACCCTTGCCTAGCACAAGTGAGGCCCTAGGTTTGATCCTCACAGCACCACAAAAAAATAAATAAAGGTATTGTGTCCAACTACATCTAAAAAATAAATATTAAAAATAAATATTAAAATAAAATAAAACATGATCCTGATCATCAGTGCAAGTAATATGTGGGATCTAGTTAGAAATACAGAATCTCTAGCCCCTCCCTAGACCTACTGAATCAGAATTTGCATTTTATCAAGTGCCTGGGTGATTCATGTATACATTAATGTTTGAGTAGTGCCGCTTTAACATGCTGCTTCTGGGAATAAACTGGAACAAATGTTCAGGACAGAAATTTGGTAATATGCCTCAAGAACTTTTAAAAATATTAATACATTTTTCATTCCAGAATTTCAGTTCTCTATAGTTAGCCTGGAGAAATAAAGCAATTAATAGATATATGTACATAGGCCATTGAAATCATTTTTTGAATAACAAAACTTTTGGCAGTTAGTTAAATGTCCTATAGTGGAATGTTAACAAGGTGGTGAAATGATATGTAGCTATTAAAAATAAAACTTTTATTGACTACTAAAAGTTACGAAAAATGTTCATGATGTGTTAAAAAAAGAAAGTATGTCAGAAATTTATGTACACATAATTATTTAAAAATAGTTATTGTAAAACAAAATATGTTCACAGGCATCATAAATCTAGAGGGAAATATAATCTGTTGTGCTTTCTGAGAGTCTTGTCTACTAAAAGAGTATTTACTTTTCTATATACTATCATATTTCACTGTGAATGTATGTTGTTGTATAATCAGTTAAAAGTTACCCAAAAAAGATGGAATCTACTTACGCTAGCAATGAATATTCTATTTCCCCATGTCTTGCTGGTAATGTCTTATCTACTTTTTTCCCCTTTAGATTTGCTGGTTTAAAAAAAAAATGTAAGACGGTAACACATTATTGTTTTAATTTCGAATTACTTAAAATTAATGAGTTCTACGTTTATTTTTAGAATCTGTTCTGGCACTGAATAATTTAAGCAACATTATTAAATAATGCAGCTCGTATTCTAAAATAAAATGAACACTTGCTGAGTTCAATTTACCTTAAGTTTCAGATTATTATGCTCGGTGGGCTTGTTTCGGAAGAAGATCTGCACCCACCTGTTTGCTACATTCCCTGGAGTTTTAATCATTGATCACTTTTTAAACCATTTATTATGGAAAAATTCAAACATACACAGAAGTTGATAGACAAGTATAATGAACCTCATGTACTTTCCAACCAACATCAGCAATTATCAGCCAACTTCTTCCCAGTCTTATTTCTCTTATATCCTAATCTATTTCTTTCCCTACCTGCCCTAGATGATTTTTGAAGCAAATCATTTAATTCCATTTGTAAATATTTGGTAACTATCTTGAAAAGATAAGCAGTTTTTTTAAAAAATAAAAACTAGCATTAGCACACCTTGAATAATGAACAATTGTTTCCTAATGTCCATCAAACATTTCCCCAGTTTTAAGTCTTCCCAGGCCCACCCCCTTGGCTCTTGTTCTCCCTCTCAGTTCCTCTCACTCTCCATTTTTTAAGAAAGGGAATGCAAAACCCCATTTATATTCATCTATTCATCTTTTTCAGTTCTGCTGTGATGGATGATGGACAGATGGATGAATATGCCAACCCTAAGGATTGCTTTGAAATGCACCGGATTCAACTTGAAGTTCACTGACCCTTTAATGAACCCAGATCCATGTAGCCTGTGATGGGAAGTAAATTTCTCATGCATGTGTTATTTAACAAGGTGTGGCTTCAGAGCAGAAGTCCCCAGATTTGAGAATTTCATTGAACAGGACATTGTTTTCAATTATATTACTGACATCAGGTTACCAACATTCCATCTTACTCAATAAGGACCAAGGTTCTTATTTCATGGTATCCTCATTTAATAAAAAGGCACTTGTACAACCCCATCCACAACCCTCAACTTCTGTCCACTACTAGCATCGTTTTCCAATTTCAAAACCTTGTGAGAAAATATATACTTTGGATGAATATTGCTCAGATATGTAGTAGGTACCTAGATGCTTACTTGGTTCTTATTTTTCTCATTTCATCAGAGATTTTTTTTTTAAAAGTTCATCATGGAATTGGCCACAGTTTAGAGCATTCTGAATGCTTCATATAAATCCCACAATGACACTGGGCTAAACTCTATCATATATATGAGTCCATTTATAATAACTCATTTATGCAAATGAGGAATCTAAGATGCTGAAACATGGGAAGACCAGCTCAGGTTGTGCAGCCTGGAAAGCTGAGCTGGGGGCCTAGAGCTCTGTGCTTTGTGGGGTGTCTGACCACCTGGGTGGACATCCTGTCATTCCCTGGAGCCTCTTCCATGTACTTTCCACTTTATATTCTCTTACCCCAGAAATCTGCTGGCAAAGATGATAATGAATGATATATTGCTGTGTCTGTCAAATAAACCAATGGAAAGAAAGGAAGAGGGGGGGGGAAGAAAAGAAGTAAGGAAGAGAGAAACAGAAGGAAATTGTGTCCAATCTTATACCTTTAGATCGTCCAGGTTAGGTGGGAGTGGGCCTGGCTTGAAAGAAGAGACACCAGTTTGTCCAGAAAAACTGTTTTTGACGGGAGACAGAGGGGTATTGCTCAGTGGTGCTGAAGAGGAGTTTGGATTTCGGACCATCTGTTCGTTGGGTTCTCTAAAAAGGAAACAAAGAAGCACTTAAAATACAATCAAATATATATGGGTAACGTGTATTTGGATCACACAGTAATAGGTCGCACGGATCAGGTAATGTAATCAACCAGCGGAAGAGAAATAGCAGCACGGGCTAGATGGCAAGTGGCAAAAGACCCTCAAGCTTGATTTGGGAGAGACAGGAGGGAGGGGTGGAGACTGCAGCATGTGGAAGAGGGCATGTCTATCCATGACGTAGTTGATGCTCTCTTCTGGGGAGTCCGGAGCATGCAGCATTTCGTAGAATTGCCAGTGTGACCTGAGAGTGACCAGAAACAGGGGAGAGAACACACATTCCAACTTCATAAGTGACCTAGTCATGTGATCACAAAGCCAGTGGGCTCAGGAGTCAATCTTTGAGACTCTCACTGAGCGATTCAGCTCTGTTGTTTCCCAGAGTGAAAGTAGAAGGGCATTGGAATTCCGAGCGATGCCAACACTACATTCTTAGCTCTTTCACAATTTACTTTGGAAATGCCCATAGCTTCCTTTTTCTCCAAAGAACATTGATTTGCTTGTTTTATCCCAGCCATACGATCCTGAAAGTTGTGTATGGTGTCTAAATACAGTCATATTTCAAATGTATCAGAAAAAAACAGATTCTTATTAGAAAAAAAAACATATATATCTGGATGAATATTCAAACATACCAGAGACAAGGACATGTGGGCTGGCCCCATGTGCCTCAGACAGAGAGAAGCCATTCCCTACCTCTGTCCCCAGCCTCCATTCCCGGCTTGCCTGACTTACTTGAGTTGCGCTTGGTGCATCCCAGGGTAGTTGAATCTGTGTTGTTGTTGTTGTTGTTGCTGCTGCTGCTGCTGCTGCTGGCTGAGAATCTGGAGCTGCAGGAACAGCTGTTGTTGCTGGAGCAGCCGAGCATAGGCTGAGTCCATGGGCGGTGGGGACTTCTCTGCCTTCTGGTCAGGGGGAATGTACTGGTGATATTTAAGCTTCTTCACCTTGGGCTTGGGGTCCTTGGGCTTTTTGTGGCGATTCTTATTGTCACCCAAGGACTTGGACTGTAAAGGGTATGAGGAAATGGCATGTGGTTTAGGTGACGAAAAAGAATGACTTGGTTGTGAGGGGGCTTTAACCTAATGGATATTATCAAATCCTGGAAATACAGCATAGCACATGCACAATGCACAAAGAATCCCTACAACATCAATGGTTTGGAGGAACCAATCTGCTGCAAACACAACCTCCTGAAGTATCACTCCTTAAGACTGGGAAACTTAAACCTTAGAATTGGCTTCAGGAATTTTTCCCTCCCTGGAGTAGGGTAGGAGGTCAGGCTGAGTTTCAACGAGTACATTCTTCCTGTCCTAAAATCAACAGATAACCTGACATTCTGATGCTGGGCTTACTCCTAAGGCAGTCCTTTCATCTGTATGCACACAATTGCCTTTCATCAAGCAGGTAATAAATTGACTTATTAATGACATAAACTTAGAGGAAGTTAAGGTGGCTTTTGTAAATCCAGTATGTGGTTCTCTGCTGCTCTGAGCCCAGAGTAAAACAGAACTGCCCGTTTATCCTCCACCCTCACCCCACTCAAATGCTGATATATAATCAGGAAATGGCACCTCTGAAATAATGACTTTTTATTTATGATGGGAAAGGTGAGCCACCCACTGGAACCCTTCCCAGAAGTGACCCATTGTAGAACCTGACTTGGACACAGTAAAGGAAGATTAGGGTGCAGCCTTGGCAGCGAAATTTTTGAACATGGTACCAATACTTAAGTTGACTCCATCTCAGTTCCATTACCTGCAAGTTGGGGAACGTATTCTCCTATCTTCTATCTCAGTGATCATTATAAAGACTATAACCGATAATGTTGAAATGATAAGAGATGCTCAATGAACAGGGTAATTAATTCTATTCATAACCTGCTTCTAAAATCAAAAGGCCTCATATATTAGGAAATAAATAAATTTTCACTTCCTGACTTTACTATAGGAGGTGGAAATGGAGAACAAGGATATCATGACCAAAGATTTTTAAAGATGTGGAGAAAAACTGGAGAAAAAGTGTGGTACCATCAGTGTCCAGAAGAGGGGGCTCCTGAATAGCTGGCAGGTATATTTGGACTTGGCAGCCTCCCCATTTCAACCACAAAATACACATCTGAATGTGACCTTATCCAAGGGGCCTACAATTTGCTTTTCTCTGACTCAGCTCATCCTACCACCAAAGGCTCTTTTGTTTTCTCAAAGAGTGTTCTTCCCCGAGACTAATGAATAACAAGTGCAAGTATTTTTGTGTGCATGGTGGCTTATTTCTTCATGCTCATTAATCTATTAGTGTTCCAATGAATTAATCAGTCTGCTGTGCTGGAGAGTTTCTACAGGGGTTCCTGCAATCAGTTCTGCCCTGTCTTGCTCCAAATCAGCTGCCAGTCCCATCATCTCCCAGAGATGACTTGGGAGGATGGGAGTAGCAGCCCTGGGTCTTGAAGCTAAGTTAGGAGGTCAAGGAGAATTTTTTAGTTTGTTTTTGTTTTTTTGATTTTTTCTTCCTCTGCGTTGTCTAAGCATGGGGACTGTGAACATTCCAGAAGATATTGAAATGATCATTTTTTTTTCTGAATAGCGTGGGGGCAAAGATGACTGAACTTATGGAAATGCATAGTTTCATTCTCTTTTTTTGAGCTTTGTGGATTTTAAAGTTGTATCTGTTTGTTTTTCTCTTTACAGCGACACAGAAGGAGAACACATTCATCTTTCTAAAAATGGATCAGAAGTGGATCCACTTCAGTGCTTAAAGACCCAGGCATAGATGTGTGAACCGAATTAGTGTATACATGAGAGGTAGCGGTGTGGCTTTGTCTAGAAAGTGCATGATGTTCTAAAACTGTACCGATTCAAACACACACACACACACACACACACACACACACATACACACACACACCTGGGCTTTGCCAAATAACATACCACCCCAGAAGCTCGAAATGTGCTGATCTTGCTCTGCAAGGTGAAGCCGAAACTCAGTAATCTGCCAAGGGAAATTTCACCAAGCTGCCTAAGTCTCTCTTCTCTAACACTGGACAGGCTTTCTTTTCTTGCAATTTTCTGCCATCTGAAACAGCCTTGCCATCTGACACTCTGGCTTCTCCTTTCAGGCTGGCTCAAGCCCTGGATCACTTAGGAAGCCTTTCCTAACTTGCAGTGAGGTGCCCTGTCTGCACTCCTCATGTGGCATTTCGAGGTTGCGTGAGGATGGTCACATCGGGGTATTTCCTGCCAAGGGGGTGAGGCAGACTGAAATCCAACCCCCAGTCTCCTTCCTACACCACCGGCCTTGAGGGAGCCACCTGTGGCTGCTTGGGGAAGGAGAACCTTTTTTAATTTTCAATATAAAAGAAACAAACACACCACCATCATAACCACATTAGTACATTCAGAATATTATGCAACCATCACATCTATCTAGTTCCATTACCCATAAAACAGTCATCCCTCATTCCTTCTTCACTTATTCCCCAACAACCATGAATGTGCTTAGACCTTGAGAGATCTGATTATTCTGAGTATTTAATGTAAGTGGAATCATATAAATGGCTTCTTCCTGTACTGGCATAATATTTTCCAAGGATCATTCATTTTTCAACAGGTATCATTATATTTTTCCTTTTCAAGAGTGTGTAATAGACAGTCTTATGGATAGACCATATTTTATGTATTCAGTCATCAACTGATGGAAATTTGGGTTGGTTCCAACGTGTTACTGTTGTAAATGGTGCCTAATATTAATATTCATGTACAAGTTTTTGTTTGAACACCTGTTTTCAAATTTTAACCTAACAGGGATCAATCTTTAACAACTGGGATGCATAGGTATGGATCAACTGGAAGGGATGATGACTCATATATAAGTAACTTGCCCTCCTGAACCAGCTGGATATCAGTATTAATACCATACTTCACTGAAAGATCTGGTCTTTCTTTTGGGATCCTATCATAATTTCTTGGAACAGTGAGGTTGACGGCTTTGCTATTTTGAATTATGCAAAATTTAAATATGCTGATAGCGACATTAATAAAACGTCTCTTTATCTATAGCATTAGAAATCATGTGAATCATCTCCCTCTTCTTCCTCTGCAAGGCATAGAATTCATCAGTTTTCACATAATGTCAAGGCTGCTGAGCTAAGTGACTTGTAAACTGGGTTTATGCTATTGTGGTTTGGTGGGAGAGCTTTACTAGAAAATTAAAATGCCTACCATCCTGTGAGAGCATAAAGCTGTTACTTTATCATTGACTTGTGCCTCAATTTATAACCTCCCACACTTTTTCTTTTCAATCCCCAAAGAGTCATTTCAGCATTCCTTAGGTGGTGGCACTAGGACTGAGAAAACATGCTCCCAAATCACGTAAAAATTATTGGGTATAAAATATTACGAAGGGGCTAACTGGTTGTAACTCAGTGATAGAGTGCTTGCCTAACATGCAGAGGCGTGAGCACCATTTAAAAAAAAAAAAAGAAGAAGAAAGAAAACCAATGACTACGAGGCAGCTCAGGAGAGAGCCCTCTGTGAACTATTAGCTATAATCCTGAGAAAATTAAATACGAAAAATATATCAAATGACTACAGCTATTTGACTACTGTGAATGTGACCCCTTGTCCCTTATGTTTATTTCCTTAGGGAATTGAATGATATAGCTCTTACATTATGCAAAATTCAACTGCCCTAAGCCTGTTTTAGGGAACTTGCAAACCCCATGTGTTTTAATCAGCCAAGTCTATCTCCAGGGTGAGCTCATGAAATCTTTTAAGTCAGACATATATTAGCAGAGCTATGGTCCCCAAGAAATGCAACCGTACCGATTCCCCCACTGCAGAGAAAGTCTATGCTGTGCTGAAAATAATATCTGGGTTCATGGGCTCTGGTGGCCTGTTTCTCAGCTCCCCATTTGTGACATTTCTAGTGGACTGGACCACTATGGGGCCATGTGATTCTCCTTATGTCATCAGATCTGAATTAGAAAGCTCTTCTCAGAGCTGGCTGTGGGCACCTGGGGCTCAGGCAGAGGAGTGGGGGCTGCCCCGTACCTACCTTTACAGCAGCATGCACAGGGATGGGGGCGCTGAGGGGGCCAAGACCCTGCTTCCCAGCGTCTGGCTGATTGCTGGACTGTGAGGCGGAATCATTCTTGTCATTTTCTGAGCCAGAAGCAAGATCCTGAAATCGAAATTTTAGCATGATTAGGACATAGGAATCAATGTTGGGTTACAGTCGAGTCCCTGAAAGATCACACTGCTGCTTTCATCCCAGGTTCTCATTCAAGTAAACGTCAGGTTACTCCCTCCGGGAGGATGACACCAAGTTCGTTGCCCGATGGAGGGTGCTTTCGAGAGAGAAAAGGGGCATCTTTAATAATTACCGCAAAAGACAGGTATAGGACTGGCCTTTCTATAGGTACAGGTATGGGAGTGGCCTTTCTGTGACAATGTCTACTTGTTGGACTTAATAATGAGGTTGAAAAAGAAATGAAGAGAGCAGAGTAGGTGTAGGAATTTGGGGGAGAACGTAGAACAACAAAGTGGAGAGAGAGGGTATTAGCAGTTGGAGGGAAAAATGTGTGTGGGGGGGTGTGTGTGTAGGGGGATGTGAGCACATACAGGTTTGTGTGTGTGTGTAAGCAAGCATGAATGCATGCTTGCACATTATATGTGCATGTACATACATTTATGAGCATGTGTACGTGTGTCTGAGTGTGTATGTATGTGTATGGATGAATGTATGCATCTGTATTTGTGTGTGTGTCAAGAATATACATAGATGCATATACATGTACACACATGAATTTTTGTATATATATGTATGAGGGATATAAGCATATGCTTGTATATGCACACGCTCATTTATATGTGTCTGTGTGTATGAGTAAGTGTAAGTACATGTCTGGGCATGTTTATGTGTGTGTATAAACACAGGCATGTGCATGTAAAGATGTATCAGGTATATGAGTGTATATATACATGTATGTCTCTGTATATTATATGTGTATATATGTGTATTTGAATGTGTGTCTCTGTGTCTATACATGCAGATGTGTGTGTTATCTCTGTGTGTGTGTGTGTGTGTGTATAATCATGCAAACCTTTACGAGAAGCATATTTCTGTCTGCTGAGGATTCCAAAAAAGGAATAATTATCTTCTCTTTCTCTCCCACATTCCTATGCTGTGACTCTGACACACAGGGGCAGGGGCTGCTGGTAATCTCCCGCTGGAGGGTCAGAAAAGAGCTTCTCAGTTCTTCTCTGAGCCCTGGTACCTATCCTAGGCCCATGAAATTCTTTTCTCTCAGTGTCTCCGTGTCCTCATCTGTCAAACATGGCTTCCGAGAAAAATGATATAAAATGATTTTTGCATTTTTCCGGGCATTGTCCAGGTCTTGTTCCCCTCTCCTAGCATTAAGCAGAAAAAAAAAAAAAACATGCCTTCTCCTCAAACCATTCTTAAATCAGAAGCTAAGGAATTTACTGTCAGAATAATACGTACAAATGGTCTGATATACCGTTTGATGTTATCAAAGACGTCTGGCTGCAAAGACCAGCAGGGGAAGAAAAAAATGCTTTGATTATAAACTCTTACACAAGAAACGCACAAATATTTCAGATCTGCTTCTTATGCCTCCTTTTCCCCTCCGAGCCCAAATTTGCTTCTTGGCTGCTTTGCATTTGCTCTCATGGAATGACAGTCACCAGTGACCAGTGAGGTTTAGGTAAACAGAGCCCTGGATATTGATTATTAATACTGTCATTGATATCTGTATATGGTACTTTGCAGTGGGAAAAATATTTCAAATACAGGTTGAATAGTTGTAATATGAAATTTCAAAATCTGAAAAAAGCAAAAGATGATACCACAAATGGAAAATTCCATACTATGAAACTTTATGAACAGAATTGTTAGAGTTGGCATGTGGGGCTGGAAGCACTTCTGCACCTTGTGTCCACACTAGTATTTCTCCTTCATGAGGATGTGTGGAATCCCCACAGGTCTCCTTTTAGGAGCTCCATGAACACCCTCCTGCTGGGCGGAGGAAAACTCTCTGCAAGCCTGCATGTGGCTTCTAGAGGTGGATTCTCCAAGGGGTGGTGGCACTTGGCGGTGATTCTAGAGACCACGTGATTTCTGCATCTCAGGGAGACTTAGCTCCTCCTCTGTGAGAATTGGCATAGATGTCACCCAGTGGGAGGGAACTGGGATCTCAAATGAGATAACTTTTGTATAGAGCACAGCGCTGTTTCTGGTCCAGAGTATGCTTCAGGCTGCTATTTATACTCATCATGGGAAATGGGCTTTCACATTGACAATGAATAAGGAATTATTATTATTTTTTTTTACAATTTTATAAATTGTAATCCTCATGATATACCTTAGACTTCTGAAGTTATTCATCTTACATATTTGTGACTTGGTACCCTTTGGGCACTATACCCTCCTGTCTCACTATTTGAATGATGAACATTTATAATGAGTGTTTTCAAAATACATCCTTTACTCTGAGGATCTGTGGATGTATCCAGAGAGAGACATGAAAACTGTGCTTGGGTCAGGACTGGAGACTGACTTTGAGGTGGGCTGGTGGTTAGATACCTGTTCGCATAGAAGCAGCAGGGACCTCCCTGCTTGGTGAACAGTTGGCACTTTCTTCTCACCCTTCTCATTAGCCCTATAATGACTGTAAGAGAAGCCTGCAGACTTTGAAATCAGTCTTGTTCTGGTACCAGGAGAGTGTCTGCCAATCACTTAACCTCACTCAAGCCTCAGTTACGGTGCCCGTAAAAATGGAGATAAAAGGTATCTATCTACTCAACAAAGTAGATGATGCTCAGAAGTCTTCCAGAGGGTATAGGGGTATAGTTCTAGAGAGTCTCTCCAGTGTTTTTTTTTTGGGGGGGGAGCTTTTGTCATGACACACAGATACCTGGGCTGAAGAGAGTGAGAAGATATAGCAACGTGTCACGTGATCGAGGAGAGAGAGCTCGACATCTTAACAAATATGTAAGATGAACAACTTCCGAAGTCTAAGCAAAATCAGCAGCAAGCACAGTGGATTTTAAGACGATGAAGACATGATGAAATGGAGATGGTTTTTATTTTTACCTGAATTGTTCCCAGAGGGCCTGCCAAAGGGGCTTCCGTAGCTTTAGCATCTGGTGGGGATCCTGCTGAGCTCTGGGGGTCTTCGCTTCGAGTCTGATCTGGAGAGAGCCCATCGCCGCTGCTGTCCTCTTCAAAGGCAAAGGCGTCTGCTGATTTGGAGAAACTCACCTGGTTTCCTGAGGGAGGGAAACCCAAGATCTGAGTCAGAGGCTTAGGAGCATCCGAGGGCTGTTGTGGAAATGCTTCTATGTGTCATCCCTGCAAGAAGCACACACACACACACACACACACCTCTCCCCGGATTTATTTAAAGTTCTGGCAAGAGTGAAGATGTATTTTTAGATTATTAGGTTTCCTAAGTGAGGACTTGTGTTCATAAAAGTGATCTGTTTGGCAGGCAAGAACGAGTGATGGATTAAAGGCTTATCATCCGTTGTTAAATTTTATTTCCAATTTTATGCATTTCTTCACATTTCCTATGGGAAATAGAAAAATCTCCGTCCAACCACCGAGATGGCTAACATCTTTTTGGAGCTGAATCAGGGAAGATACAGGAAGCAAAGGGGAAGAGTGTATGCATCAAGACCAAAGGGGAAGGTGGTAGGAGAATGACCTGTCATAGGTTTCACAGTGACAGCAGGAATTGAGATGACAGCATGCCATGTGCATCATCTTCAAATACAAAAACAGGGCACGCAGCACAAAATGTTTAGCAAACTTTGCTAATAAGGATAAGCCAGGCTCACTACTAAGTTTAAATTCTCTAATGTCAGAATTAGCTAATGTCACTGGAGTGTCCCAAAGAGCCATTCGACCAAAGCAAAATTGTTTACAAGAGCCATAAATATGTCTCAGAAACTTCAGTTCTGATTCTTATTTTTCTTTATTATTCAAATTTTCCTTTTATGCCTCATTATTTCTTTGTATCTATTTTGGCGATCCCACATGCAGACACTCTTCCTCAGTTCCCCGCGTGGTCTTTCTAGGGCAGCAGATAAGTTGTCGTGGGAGGTAGGTTATCAGACCAGATGGGCCCATAATGACATCCTTCGAATGTCCCTTCCATTTGGCGTGGCCAACTTTCCTCTGGTTTATTATCCAACTGCACAGTACACAGTGTGCTGAAGCCACATAGCTCTCCTGACCCGATTCTGCTCTTCGAAAGGAATTTAGGTATTATCAGGAAGTTTTCCAGCCTCCTATAATCACACTCACAAGAACTTTTGACTCTTGCTCAGGGGGAGATAAGAGAAGGGAGCTCTCACTGCAGTGATTGGAAAGGCAACGAGAAGCTGGAAGTAATGGAACAAATGTGGCTTTGGGCTTGTCATCGCGGCCACTGCTGGCATCTGTCATGGACCCTGGTGTGGACATCCAGTGTCAAATCAGGAAAGAGGCCAGGCAAGGACAGGGCAAGTGGAAACTCCACTCACTGTCCCCATGGGCAGCATACTAACCTGAGGGGGCTTGCGCACCAGTGTTTCTGCTCCATGAGTTGTTTTTTAAAAAGTTGTCATGGCTGTGCTACCGTTATCAAAGTAATAATGTCCATCCTAAAACTTAACCCAGACAAAAATGCCTAATGGGTGCCATCTGCCTTCTGTTCATAATTGGTTCTCTCTTCTCGATGTAACTCGATGCATACGACAAGGTATATACCCACACATTTAAAAAAAAATATTTCATGCAGGCGGGACTTGGTAAAATATTCTATTTCTGGACTGGGGAGGTAGCCCAGTGGCAGACTGCTTGCCTGGCATGTATGGAAAGCTGGGGTCAAACAAAAAAAAAGATGTTCTGAAACTTCCTCCCCCTTCCACACTCTACAGTGTTTCTTGGAGATCTTTCTATGTAAGAACATAGAGATCTTCCTCAATTTGTAAGAAATAGCTGCACAGTATTCCATTGTATTGATGGAAACTTTTAAATGTATCCTTGAACTTTATTTAACTAGAAAAAGATTGAAATAACAACAGTGCAGAGAAAGAGTAGGAAACTCCTCTTTACCTAAGATCTGAAATCCATGTTCACATTTTTCCCTAATTGGGTCAGGAACCTGTTTATATTCTAGCAGGGAGGTTTCACTGGGTATTCAACCAATGCCACTTTTTCTTTGAGATCAGGGAGGTTTTTTTTCTTCCCCTTTACTCCTCTGGTCCTCTACTTCCTCCTCTTAGCCAAATTTCGACTCTGCCAATAGCCTCTGTATGTCCTTTTCATGCAATATGAATGACTCTGTATGTTATTCTTCCTTTCTCAAGGAGATGTTTTGCCTGAGATCTCCTAAGGAAGGTTATTCCAGTTCTTCCAGGAGTATCTGCCCATTGTCAGCTCAGTCCATACATTTCTTGGCAAACTATGCTTTCATTCGAATTTAAGGCACAATTTATGTGTGGAAGTAAAGGTTTTGTCCCTGTTAAAAAGGATCACACTTATTACTGAGGGCCAAGTAGGCAGGGGAGTCAGTGGAGAGGTATTAAGTGTTTCCCAATCCAGAAATCAGGGCCTTTCATGGAGATATACTTATATACCCTGAGCCAAAACTATTCACAGTCAGAGAAGCCTGCACATGACCTTGCTAGCCCCTGAGGAAAGCCAGTCTTCTCTGCACAAGAGGAATCTCTCTCTGAGATCTGCATTTTCTTATTTCTCCCTCTAAATGGAATGGGGTTTCTCTGTGTGGTCTGATGTTTCATGTGACAAAGGCTCCCACCCAACTCCATACAGAGCATCATCTTCCAAGTGTGTATAAATTAGGGGGAACAAACCAACTTACAAAGTTGTCCCATCTTCTAATAAGTGGGTAGAAGTGTTCAAAGAAAGGGAAAGAAAGAGAATGGTTCCTCCTCTTCTCTTCTGATGATCTCACTTTCAGGTGGAGAGAAAGCAAGTGGGAAAGATAGCAGGTCTTTCTGGGGGGAGGGTGGTGTACACCTGTAATTCCAGGGACTTGTGAGGCTGAGGCGGGAAGATGGCAAGTGGAGGCCAGCCTCAGCAACTCTGCAAGACTCTCAGCAACTTAGCGAGATCTTGTCTCAAAAAAAAAAAAAATTAGAAGGTCTGAGGATGTCACTCAGTGGTAGAGTGGCCCTGGATTCAATCCCTAGTAACAGGGGAAATAAAAAGAAAAAAGAAAAGAAAAGCAGGTGGTCTCAGTGAGGCCCTCCTAATGGTTCAAGAAGTCAAAACAGGGGCACATTTTCTCATCTCTGTTTTTCAGATAAAGTCATTGCATGGCTCATTCCACTCAGCTCTTAAGAGACTGAACTGAAGACTGACGTTCCAGCCTTTGGACTCTCAGAGACACCCTGCAGAGGGGGTGGCAAAATCAATTACCCTCCCTGCCAGCCATCAGGTGGGGCCATCTGTTAGTTAGGAAACACTGTCAAACTACTCTGTTGGTTGAGGGTCACGGAGGAGTCACATAGAGAATGACCAACATTGGCACACATCATGTACTGAGGACACCCCTCTAGTTCCACAAAATCTTGTAGTACAGGAATTTTTGAGATTTGAGGGACTGAATGTGACATTTGATGGTGAGAAACAAAGGAAGTCAGGAGATTCTGGGAAGGGAGATCAGGATGAGTTTTATTTTCACTGTGTCAGGAAAGAGTTGAAAGAATTGTGGAAGCCCCGCGGTTGGCCCCAGTATATCCACATGCTTATTAAATAAGTTGCTAACAATCACGCGGTCACTGACACCCTTCCACTCTGACATCTGTCTGTTGGTGACCACAGATTGAGGCACTAGAATGATGTGCCAAAGTCTTGCGGTAGAGTAATTGGAATAAAGGAATCTGTGAAGTTGGCTCTGCATATCCACAGATCCTGCATCTGAGGCTTCAAATCAATTGCAGATTGAAAAAAAAAATATTCAGAAAAAAAAAGTTGTGTCTGTACTAAACACATAGACTTTCTCCCCTCGTCGTTACTCCCTAAGCAAGACTGTACAATAACTTTTTATACAGCGTTCACATGGAAGTAGGTATGATAAGTAATTTAGAGATGGTTTAAGGTAGAAGGGAGGATGCCAGATGCCCCAGTCTGCCTTTTTATCTAAGGGACCCTGGGAGGTTCTGGAACTAATTCCGTGCTGATACTGAGGGATGATTGCCATCAGTTCTATTTTCCCCAGGAGGAAGGGTGGGGGGAGGCTTCCTCAATTATTTCATTCAGTTCCACACCTCACACTTTAAGAAAGAGTAGAGATAAGCTGAAACACAATCAGATAAGCTAAGGTGAAGGGAAGAGAAGGAAAGCCAAGGAGACACAGGCTATCTGTGTATCTCCCTGGGAAACAATCGGAGGATCTGTCAGGGACCAGATTTCCAGGGATGTGTTGGTGGTGGTTAGACAGAGTTAGATAGTGATGGGGACTGTCTACGGAGTCTCCTGGAGGAGGTGGGACGGAATGGAACCTGCAATGACAGTCAGATGTGGCAGGACAACAGAAAAGGAGAATTGGGGGGTGGCATTTGAGGATGATGGGGAGAAAGGAAAAGAAACTGTTAGAGTGTCCAGCAGGAGAGCTGGAGTGGAGAGGGTGAGGAAGAATTTTTTTTTTTTCCCCAGCCAAGGGAGAGAATTCTTTTACTCCATTCAGCATTTGAAAAGGCTTCCTTGTTTAAGTCAAGGTGACCAGGAAGACGTCAATCAAATGTAAGGTCGTTGTTTAGAGCCAAATGGGTGAGTTGTGCAAGCCCCAAACATGATGCTTATGTTATCTAAAAAGCATGATGTGCCAGGTCAGAGTATACCAACAGACACATTGAGGACCACTTACGGCTGTCCCACCACGAGGGCCCCTGCCAATCGCCACTCCTCCAGGACGACAAGTGATCTGGATTGCCACTGCCAGGGCAGAAGACAGGAAAAGGGCAGGGAGCCCAGAAAGCTACTCAGCTCAGTTCCTGTTGATAACAAGAATGGCAGGGGCAGAGAAGCCACTGAGTGCAAACAGCCGTGGCTTCCTTTCCTTCGATGTGTGTGATTTTCACTGTGATCTATAACATCTTGATTCTGGAATCAGAGGCACATGTCCCCCCCGACCCCGAGTTCTACCACATTTAGTGGGAGTAACTGTTGGCAACTCATTTAACCTTTCTGAGCCTCAGTTTCCCTATCTCTAAAACGGGAACAATCATAATAGCTACTACCCTCCCCCGGGGTTTCA